AACTCAGAGAAATAAACTTGAGCTAGTTTTAAAACTGGAGGTGAATTTTATTGTGTCCTACACCACCCCCATAACCAGTTGCAGATCAGACCATTATGCTCCACAGGGTTTTCAATGATGGATTTTCAGAAGTAGATTGCAAGGCCTTTCTCCCTCATCTGTCTTAGTCTGGAAGCTCAGCTGAAACTTGTTCAGAATCATAGCAGCATGCAGACCTCTACTGAAGATAGGAGGTGGCTACATACAACGTGGATTAGATGGGAATGGAACGTGGTTTTCCTGCATGGAAGGTGAGAATTCTACCACGGAAACATGATCACCCCTGTAATTGAATGATTACACCACACACATATACAGCTAACCTAATATGACACTTAGTAGCTAAATTACTTTAAAAAAAATTATAGTAATAAATTGTTACTGTACTGATAGATTTTATGTGATCTTTATTCATTTCTTGTTCCCTGACCTACACCTACAGATTTAGGAACAAAACTGCAGGAATCTCCTACCTGTCACTTGATCTCCATGTTTTGGGTTTGCCAGTCCCAAACAACAGTGTGAACTACAGCTTTAAAATCAATCTCTCTCTCTCTTTCTCTTTATACATATATATTTTACTGGTTCAGTTTTTCTAGAGAACTCTGATTCTCTAGATAACCTTGATTAAGAAAGATATCATTAAGGGAAAATTATTCTTCAATGCTTAATTTACAAATTACTCTTATTTTCAAGAAATGTCACGTGCCACCATACAAAAGAGATATTGCAGGTTCAGTTCCAGACCACCACAATATTACTATTGTGGTGAATCACACAAATTTTTTTGGCTTCCCAGTACATATAAAAGTTATGCTTACACTATACTGTAGTCTATTAAATGCACAATAACATTATGAGAAAGTCTGAAATATTGTTAGAATTATCAAAATGTGACAGAGATATGAGCACTCTGGAAAAATGGGGCTGACAGAGTTGCTTGATGCAGGGTTGCCACAAAATTTCAATTTTTCAAAAACACAGTATCTGCAAAGTGTAATAAGTGCCTGTATATCAAAACAAATTCATGCTTTGATATCTTCTATTTAATTACATTCTTACAATTTTAAGAATAAAAACACAATAATCTACCAGTCATGAAAGAATCTATGCAGAAGAACTTAATTCATATCCATTATACCCTATGCTTATCAACCACCAAAAAACATTCTTTCTACATTTTAAAATCACTATTCTTCTCTCCCTTTAATGTTCTTTCATTATCATCTGCAAGAACAAAACGATTTCTACTCCCCCTTTTCCTTAGCATATAATCAATCACAACCAAAGCAGGATGTATCACTTAAAGGAAAGGGAATGGATCCCCACCCCTTCTTAATATTTTAACTGCATAGAAATACCAGTTACTTGTGAGTTGCTATTTTTTTTTTCAACATAACTCAGTTCGTTATATAGTTCAGTCAAGATCATGTTTATCCAGGTATAAAGGGTAAAGAGGAACTATGTAATACAAGCATTTGAGTTGAATCAGGGGTTATCTTCTTCTGTGAGGCTGAAAATGAAATTCATCTGTTCATATTGTTGTCATGAAGACTGTTCCCACATCAAATAGCTGTCTGGAGTTGTTTTCACTCATTTCTCATTAAACATTGGAGTAACCTTCTTACTCCAAAGATAGTACTGAGAAAGCAACTGATAATAAGTATGAATTTTTAAAAAAAAGGTTGCCAAAGATTTTTGTTATAAAAATTTTAAATAGTTACAAAAGTAAAAAGATGGAAACAACCTACATGCCCATCAACAGAAAAATGGATAATCAACTATAGTACATATACACAATGGAACTATGCAACACTAAAGAACAATGGGAATACCCACTGCAGTATACTAATTTCTGCCTATAGGGCAGCACAGAACTCCTCCTAAGTGTTGCCAAGACTGTAAATCTTTAGAAGTTCCTACTGGTGGGTTCGAACTGCCGACCCTCTGCAAGCAGCCTAACTTTACTCACTGCGCCAACAGGCCCCTTATAACAAGAATAGCTATGCCAGTATTCACATCTTCCTTTATTTCCACTTTTCCCTCCCAAATTAGGGTTTATCTAGACACCTTGCTTCCAATTTCTGGACACACAAACTGGGAAAAAAAAAAAAAAAAAAAAACCTCACTGCCGTGGAGTCGATTGCCCAATCTTCCTTAGGAGGAGTGGCTGGTGGGTTTGAACTGCCAAGCTCCTGATTATCAGTCAAATGCCTTAGGCACTAGGCCACCAGCGCTCCCTCCAGACACACAGCCCATGGTAAAAGAAACTAAATAACCAAGCTATGGCCACTGCATTAGAAGCACAGAAATTTACGGGATGATAGTAGGCAACATGCTTAGACTAGTCAAAATGGTAGTTACTGTACATTAACAATACTTTTCTTTGTTCTATGTGGTAAATTCTAAGAGCTAGGGACCAGAGGCCAGGCTAGATAACGCATTTGCTCCGGAGAAAAACGTGTGAAGAACCGTTGGTCAGCGGGTATGTTCTGCATCTCTTGGGGTGAAAGAGTGCCCGTAGGCCTTCTATGGGAGCTCTGGTGGCGTAGTGCCTAAGGCACTTGACTGTCAATCAGAAGGCTGGTAGTTCAAACCACCATCCACTCCTCAGAAGGAAGGTTGGGCAATCTACTTCCGTAGTGATGCTGCCTCAGAAACTCCAGAAGGGGTCGCTATGAGTCGGATCCGACTCCATGGCAGTGGATTTGGTTTTGCTCTAGGCCTTCCATAGTAAATACATCTACTTTTCTAACCACCACAAAAAAAACACTGATAGTCACTTCCAAGAGCCAGGAGATAACTTCATAACGGTACTAACCAAAAACCAACCAAAACCACTCATACTGACCCCATAGGACAGAGAACTGCCCCATAGTGTTTACAAGGCTGTAGATCTTTACAGGAGAGCTCTGGTAACATAGTGCCTAAGGCACTTGACTGCTAACCAGAAGGCTGACGGTTCAAACCCACCAGCCATTCCTCAGAAGGAAGATAGGGCAATCTACTTCCGTAGTGATTGTTCCTGGGAAACCCAAGGAGGGGTCGCTATGAGTCGGGTCCGACTCGACGGCACATAACAACAACAACAACAACAACAAATCTTTACGGAAGGAGACAGCCTCATTTTTCTCCCGCGGAGCAGCTGATGGGTTTGGTTAGCAGCCCAATGCTTTCACCACAGCGTTACCAGAACTCCTAAGGGTACTAAAACGCAACAAAAGGTATTAAGGAAATTAGTATTTCAAAGACACCGAAAAGTGGCAAACAAAACAGCACGTCCTGGGAAGGACTAGAGCTGTGTTAGCCACAGGCCCGGAGACTGGTCTAGCGATCTCCACGATCATGGCGCGGGCGGGTGACGTTATCACGCCGCTGGGGGCGGGGAGGGTGGACTAAACCAACGCTACCGTTCCCAACCAACCTGGCGCAGCCTAGGGCCAGACACTAGCGGGCAACTGACTCACCTTCCCATCATTGTGAAAAGGGAGGCTGAGCTCATCCGTAGTGTGCGGGGGTCGAGCACTGCCAGTCTCCTCGGCCGCTCCAGCGGCAAGCAACGCGGAGGCTGCTGCCTCGTAGTCCTGGAAGGGATTGGTAAACGCCCGCTCCTCCATTTCTGCCTCCCCGCCTAGATGCAACTTCAGCCTCTTTGACATGGTTTCGCCCATCTCCGCCACGCGCTCTTTATACACTGTCGTGGCTGGGCGGCACGGCGTGCGGGCGGGGACAAACCTCCTGCCGAGGCGTTTTGACTGGAGCTGGCTCTTGGAGCCCAAGCTCGCTGGCGCCGCTCTATCTTTGCAGTATCCCTACGCAGGCCAAGGGCCGGGGCTCACTTTAGGAGGGCAGAGGCCGCGAGTTGGAGAGCTTAGCGCGTCCTGGGAGCGGGAAGGAGCCGCTCTTCAGGGCTGGTTGTGCAGCAGTTGTCTTGCACATCTGGCAGCAGCTGGTGCTCTCCACGTGGTGCCTCTGGCTCTGGTCCAGACGCCTGTGTGGACCCAGCGCTGGCTCCGCCTGTGCAACAGAGCGCCAGGGGCGCGGCCGCGGGCCCCGCAGCTGGATAGGAAGCGGACGAGCTCCGCGAGTAGCGCTCGGGCCGGGCGCGTAGATGCTGCTTTGGCGGCGGCGGCGGCGCAAAGCTCGCTCACGCCCGTCTGGACTTTCGGGTATGAACGCGGTTCCCCATAGACACCGCCCGCTCCCAACCAACCCGCTGCCCTGCGGGGAGATGGACTCTCGGACCGCAGATCCGGTAAGCGGCGACGCTCACGTCTGGGCTGGAGCCCCGGGTGTCTGCCAACGCTCTCCGGGGTCGCCGCGCCGGGCTCCTCTCCCTCCGCGCCTGAGCCCCGGTGGAGATTTTCTAGAGAAAACCGAAGACCGCGAGGAGGACGTGCAGGCAAGGAAAACCTGTAGAGAAGAATTCGCTGTCATTCAAGGTGTGTGCGTTTCGCAGACCAGAGAAAGCGCGTCCCCAGACGCTCCATCATCAATCTGCATGTTCAACTGCCGAGCGATAGTGCCGTTGTCCGAGGCTTCTAGTGCGCCAGACACCAGAATAGCAACCGCTCTTTCTTTGATACTAAGAAAAAAAAATCTTCTAAAGAAAAGAATTTCAAAACAGCCTAAAACACTGCAATAGCCTCCCGGGGGTAGGAGGGGAAAAAGACAGTCCCTCCTATTCATCACTGTTGGGAGGGGTATGTCTGGAGGAGGAGCCACAGGCCTAATTTTTTCTTTTTATGTTTTATTTTCAGTCCCTTTGTTTTCACTAAATGGACAGCTTTGGTAAGAAGCAATAATGTGCAAGCATACTTAATCACCTAAATAATTAATTGACCAGAGAGATTACTCCAGTATTAATATAAATTGTTCAGGAACGTATGTATTATAAAACAAGCAAATAAATATTTGCATTTGCTTAATCACAATACATTAACTTCACAGATTTTGTGCTCTTTATTCCCTTTTTGTTTATGTGGAACCAAATTGGTGTAATGATTTCTCTTCTTTGAGGAAAATGCCTTATATCAGTTTTCTTCCATTTAACAAACATTTTTTGAACACCAGATGGTACTAGGTGATAAAAAAAAAATTAGAGATTGCAATAGTTTTTGCCTTCAGGATTCTCAATTTAGAGGGTGAGAATGGCAAGGATTACAGTGTAGGGTGATATGGATACTTTTCTGGAACCAAGCATGGTATACACTGATACAAAAAGTGACATAATAGGAAAAAAAAAAAAAAGCATGTCTAGGGAACACAAACGGAGAAGATCTGGCTTCCTACTACTGTCCTATCCTATTTTCTCCTCCAACTCCAGGAATCTGTATATGTGAGAGGGAATGACTGTGGGAAATCACAATGTAAAAGAAAACACTTTTAAAAGAAGCACCCAGTACAAGCATTCTCAAGAGTTTAAGGGCACATAATATAATCACAGGAGGCCTGTTTCAGGGGCATCCCTTGGGAGTCAGCTCCACTTTCCTGCTTTAGTCCCCTTGTCCTGGGTCTTATCTTTCTCCAACAGGGAAAGACTTTACCGCAGTGTTTCCAAATTTTCATACCATTCACTGACCACTGACCTTGACCTGCCTTAGGAGCTATCCCTCCCCACCATCAGTGACTTCACTAGACAAAAACCCACTGTGATGTTCCCCAACACCTGAGTTATTTAGTCTATAATAACACCAGAAGCAGGTATAGCAGAAACCTTTGCCTTTTCTATACTAGGCCTGGGCCCTTTGAGATTTCTCTATCCTGGTGTGGGGTGAAGAGAGTCTCTCATTCTTTCAGTTTTCTAGTGGACAACTGTTGGCAAGCCTGCAAACTTCCTCTAAGGACAGCCAATTTTTTCAAAGCCTTTCAATATTTTAAGAAATTGAAATATTTTCCTAAATATTGTACATTCTGCAAAGATTTCCTGCCTTGGCATAGATTTCACTTACATTATTATGCAGAGTAGTGACAGTTCTTTCTTCATCTTCCTGTTTCCAGACTTTATGAATGAGCTTTTTAATACAGAAGACATGGGGATCCATTCTGCTGCCTTTTGTAACAACTGGGCCATCTTCCTCTGATGGCCACTCTTCAGACAAAGACTTGGTGTTTTGAAATTACAACTTTATTTACCTTAGGCCAAACCGAATTCTTAGGGAAGGCATCCTTCTAACTCATCTGTACAAGTGTGAGGGGCAGTATAAAGATTAAACATACCCTCATCCAAAGCAAATCCCCAGGAGTAGTGGACACAATTGGCAGCTGACTTTTTATTGAAGGAAAATACAGAATCAAAGGATCTAACTGGCAGAAGGAATATTGATGTTCACCTGGCTGAAAACTTGGGAACTATTCAAGGTTAAAAACTCTAGAAGAATCCAGAGAAGGAGACTTCCTCCTGCTGGAGGTTGGTTTTCCTAAGTCAGTAGGATTGCCAGACTAAGAAACTGGAAGGTGGTTGTTGAAGGTGCATGTTGTCAGGGGACATAAATGTGATATAGAATAGTCAAGTCAAGGAGTTATCTATGGAGTATATATGAAGGCTGGAATTTTCTTAACATTATTCATTAACATTTTTTAACATACTTGTTAACAAATATTTTTCTTTTCATTATGTTTATTGTTATATGTGTGTCATCTGATATACGGGCCAAGGGGTTTGGAGTTGCCTGTGTCTGTTACCATGCCTTTGCTTGCAAGAGCTGACCAGGCCTCCATTTTGGAGGGTTTTCCTTTGGGTGGTACGAGAGAATGTCTCAGTAGGTGGGCCACCACACTTCACTTATATTACATTGTAGTTCCCTTCTGAGATTGACCTACACTTTTGTCTGTCTATCAAGATCCAGGTTGTTGGATTGTTGTATAAGAAGAAACAAGCTAGCCATGTGGAACAGAGAAGGGGTTTGTTTTACCCTCTTCTGTTGATACATTAGATGTGTCCTTGTGGCTAACAGCTATATACAGACACTGCATATGCTATAAAACCCTGATTTAAGACAGATTTGATCCCTTAAACTAGCAATCCTCCAAATGTGATCTGGGGATGGTTTGGGGCAGCTAAAGGAGCTCTGCTAGCATAGTGCCTAAGGCACTTGACTGCTAACCAGAAGGCTGGCGGTTCAAACCCACCAGCCACTCCTCGGAAGGAAGATGGGGCAATCTACTTCCATAGTGATACTGCCTCGGAAACCCAAGGAGGGGTTGCTATGAGTCGGGGCTGACTCGACAGCACATAACAACAACAACAACAACAACATGAAGTCAAAACTATTTTTGTAATAATTGTATTGTCAGTTGCCATTGAGATAGCTCCAATTCGTGGTGACCCATGTAAAACAAAATGAAATGTTCCCAGACCTATGCCATCTTCACAATTGTTGGTAGGCTTGAATCCTTTGTTGTGGCCACTGTGTTTATCTCTTAGTACTATATTGGACAATATTCTTTGTAATCTATGGGGTTTGCATTGGCCGATTTTCTTAAGTAGATTGCCAGGCCTTTCTTCATAGTCTACCTTAGTCTGCAAGCTCTTCTGAAACCTGACCATCATGGGCGACCCTGCTGGTATTTGAAATAGCAGTGGCATAACTTCCAGCATTTGTAGCAATACACAAGCCACCACAGACAGATGGGTGGTGGTTTGTTATTATTCATACTAATTAGTAATAAATAACTAATTATTTGCCTATTTCTCTCCTGTTTTCTCAGGAATGTACAGTAGGGTTTTCCAGAGGCAGTATGACCTACAGTGTCCCATTGGATTAAATGCAGAAGCTGATAAGAGACTAGATATCTTCTGTTAAACTAGACATCAAGAGATATGCAAAAGCATAAGAATAACGCCACTCATCTCACTACAATTTTTTGTTGTTTTGTTTTGGGAAATATAGGTACTTTTTCATAAAAATATGTTAACCTGTAAAAAGTGATGGTAGAGATTGGGGAGAGTCTTGCTCCTGTCTCTGTTGCAACTCTCAGCACCCATTTTATATGGACAGTGTAGCTGGGTGCTCTGAGCCTGGCCACTGTTCTCATAAGACTTCTGAGTGGAAACTGTTTACATGGTTCTTCCCAGAGGGGCATGCAAAGCCTCTGAGTCAAGACAGGTAATTCCATTTTCTTCCATACTCTCTTTTTTCATAGGATCAAAATCTATCATGGCTGCTAAGAACACCTCGTTTGATTTCTAGATCTCAGTAGGAATCAGTGGGAGGATTTCATTTGTTCTAGACTAACAGGGAGGGCAGTGGTGGTTCAGTAGAATTCTCACCTTTCAGGCAGGAGAACTGGGCTCAGTTCCTGGCCTTTGCCCCTCATGAGGAGCCTCTACCTGTCTGTCTATGGAGGCCTATATGTTTTTGTGATGCTGAATGGGTTTCAGCAGAGCTTCCAGACTAAGGTGAACTAGGAAGAAAGGCCTGGTGATCTGCTTCCAAAAATCAGCCAGTGAAAACCCTGTGGATCACAATAGTCTGATCTGCTGCTGATTATGGGAATGATGCAGGACCAGGCAGCATTTCATTCCTCTGTGCACAGGATCACCACAAATCGGGGACTGACTTGACAGTAGCTAAACACTAAAAGGAAGATAAGAAGGTAAAAGGGAACCCAGAAGTTGGCTATATCAAAGGGAAAGCTACACAAGGGAAGAAGGCACCTGTGAAGAAGGA